GCATAAAGGGAAATCGGTAATGTAGGAGATCAAGAGGCACAGTGGAGGGTTGGGTAAGGGGAGTCAATGTAGAATTCTTTAAAAAATCATGTTATACTCATATATAGATGTACCACAGGGAATTTCATCTTTATGCATGAATAAAAAGAACCAGTTAAATACAGACAACCAAAAGAAAGTCCAGTAAAGGATGTAGAATGAGGGAGCAGAGGGAAAGGGGGAAGAGAAAAAGGGGATTATGAACTGAAATCAAATTCCATGCACACATGAGTTTGCCAGGATGAACCAAACCACTATGTGTAACTATAAAGCTCTAATAACTAGATTGGGGATATAGTTCAGTTGGTAAGTGTTTGCTCTTCATGCACCAGCACCAAACAAAAGAAAAAAAATTATATATAGGTATATAATATATAATAACTTAAAATTTTTATTTCTTTTGAAAAACAAACAGGGATCATCTTGCTCAAAACTCAAGAGGTAAAGCAGGGCACAGTGGTGCACACCTTAATCCCAGTGGCTCAGGAGACTGAGACAGGATTGTGAGTTCAAAGCCAGCCCCAGCAAATTAGCAAGGCCCTAAGCAGCTCAGTGAGACCCTATCTCAAAATAAAATACAAAAATAGGGCTGGGATTGTGACTCAGTGCTTCACTGCCCCTGAGTTCAATTCTTGATACCCAAAAATAAATAAGCAAAAATTAAAAATTTTAAAAGAAAAAAAAAATGAAGGGCTAGGGAGCTAGGGATGTAGTAGCTCAATGGTTAAGTCCCCCTAGATTCAGTCACAAGTTGGGGGGGGGGGGAAATCAAACCTAAAGAGGTCATTCCCAACTTAAGAGGAAATAGGAATAAATATCTTTGAGAGCTCTTTCTGGATCAGATCTTAACTCAGGGAGGCTTTATCAATAAGCCATCCCCAGATTTTTTCTTTTCTTTTTCTTTCTTTCTTTTTTTTTTTTTTTTTGAGACAGGGTCTAACTAAGTTGCTGGGGGTGTTCTCACTAAATTGTTGAGGCTGGCCTACTTGCAATCCTCCTGTCTCAGCCTCCAGAATCACTGGGATTATAGTCATGCGCCACCATGCCTATTTTTTAATGGACAACCAGTGTTTCTGTCTTCTCTACTGCAAGTCAACGAGTGACTGTAATAAGTTTAATCAAATGTAACCCAATCTTAGTCTTAGGACCCAATAACCAGAAAAATTCAAGGAAAATAGGCTAAAATTGTAATAGGCTAAATTTGATTTTAAAAGCAGGAAAACACAAAATTTATGGACTGACCTAATTAAGTCTTGGTCTTAGAATAATCTCCTATAAGAACAATCTGAAATATAGAGGATGTGCTATGTTTTTTGTTTCTGGCACCTAGTTTGATGCCCCTACTACCTTGCAGGAATTTAGTAAATAGCAGATGAATAAAAACAATAATTTAATAAAACATTAATTGCTGAACTAGGTGATAGGTAGTCTTCATAAAATTCTTTCAATTTCACTCTCTAAAGTATTAAACAATGATGGGGCTGGGGTTTCAGCTCAGCAGTAGAGTGCTTGCCTCGCACTTGTGAGATACTGGGTTCGATCTTCAGCACCACATAAAAAATAAATAAGATAAATAAAGATATTGTGTCCACCTTTAAAAAAATCTTTTTAAAAAAAGTATTAAACAATGACAATTTAAAACCTAAAATTTGGCACACCTGTAATCCTTGAACTTGTGATCTTCCTCCCTCACTGGGACTATAGGCACACACCACCGAACCTGGCAAAAGGTAAACTTTTTTTTTTTTTTTTAATTTAGTTGTAGATGAACACACGGTATCTTTATTTATTTTTATGTGGTGCTGAGGATTGAACCCAGTGCCTCACACATACGAGGCAAGCACTTTATCACTCAGCTACAATCTCAACCCCGCAAAAGGTAAACTTTCTTGCCCCAAACAAGTAGTTTTCCAAATCACACTGATCAGACATTATGATACATCAAGATACAATTACTAAGCTTGGTGTGGTGGCACATGCCAGTAATCCCAGCTGCTCAGGAGGCTTAGGCAAGAGGATCACAAACTCAAAGCCAGCCTCAACAACTTAGCAAGGCACTAAGCAACTGAGTGAGGCCCTCTCTCTAAATAAAATACAAAACAGGGCTGGAGACGAGGCTGGGTGGCCAAGCGCCCCTGAGTCCAATCCCCAGTTACCCACCCCCCCAAAACAAAACTAAAATTTTGTAATAATTATAGAAAATATATGAAGACCATATTTTCACCAACAACCAAATAAAAGCCTATTTTTCTTTTTTTTTTTTCTTGCAGTACTAGGAATTGAACTCAGTTGCACTCTATCACTGAGCTACAATTCCAGCCTTTTATTTTTATTGAGACAGAGTGTCAAAAAACTGCAAAGCTGGCCTCAAACTTTCAATCCTCCTGCCTCAGCCTCCATAGTCACTGGGATTACAGGCCAGCACCATTGAACCCTTTACTTCCTAAAAGTATTTTGTATTTGTACTTATCCCCTTTGCATATGGTCTTGCTATCATCCTTTAAAATTTCCCCATATTCTGAGGGGAGTAGTGTTCAAATACAGAAGATGCCAGTGCATAAATATTTTAGCACAGTAAGTACATGTTTGGACTGCGGGAAAGCTTAGTTGTATATCTTTAGTACCACCACCACAAAAAACAAAAAAACTTTATGCTTAATAATTTGGGAGTGATTTCACCAAAATTCTTCAAATGAGAACATGTTAAATATCTTTGAAAAGAATTGCAAATTTAGCTAGTACAGTGGCACATGCCTGTAATGCCAGTGGTTCAGGAGGCTGAGGAGCTCAAAGCCAGCCTCAGCAAGAGTGAGGTGCTAAGTAATTCAGTGAGACCCTGTCTCTGAATAAAATACAAAACAGAGCTGGGGATGTGGCTAAGTGATCGAGTGCCCCCCAGTAAGATCCCTATACCCACCCACCCCCCAAAAAAATTGCAAATTTATTCTGGGCCTGGTGCTATACACCTGTAATCCTGACAACTCAGGAAGTTGAGATAGGAGAATGACAAGTTTGAGGCTCCGCCTCAGCAACTTAGCAATACCTTGCCTCAAAAAACAAAGACTGAGGATGTAGCTCAGTGATAAAAAGCGCTCCTAGGTTAAATTTGTATATGAAAATAAAGTATGAGCAAAAAGTAGGAAGGGTGGCACAAGTATGTAATCCCAGCAACTTTGGAGGATGAGGCAGAAAAATGGCAAATTCAAGGCCAGCCTTGGCAATTTAATGAGAACATCTCAGAATAAAAAATAATGTGGATGTAGTTCAATGGTAGAGAATCCCTGAATCCAATCTCCAGTACCAACCCCCAAAAAGCAAAATTATGAACACAGTAATAGATATGGGGTGGCTCAGGCCTATAATCCTAGTGACTTGGGAGGCTGATGCAGGAGGATCATAAGTTTAAGGCTAGTACTGGCAATTTAGCACAGTTCTAAACAACTTAGTGAGACCCTATGTCAAAATAAAAATAAAAAAGGGTTGGGGATGTGGTTCAGTGGCAAAGCACCCCTGAGTTCAACTCCCAGTACCAAAAAAAAAAAAAACCAACAATGAGCACATCATTCTCCTTTCACATTAAAATAAAATATATATAAATTAAAGCTGTGAAAACTTAAAAAAAAAAAACGGGCTGGGGATGTGGCTCAAGCAGTAGCGCGCTCGCCTGGCACGCGTGCGGCCGGGGTTCGATCCTCAGCACCACATACAAACAAAGATGTTGTGTCCGCCGAAAACTAAAATAAATAAATAAATAAATATTTAAAATAAATAAAATGAAGATGTTGTGTCCACCGAAAACTGAAATATAAATATTAAAAAATTCTCTCTAAAAAAAAAAAAAACTCAAAACATTTGTGACTTCAAATGTCCTTAGGTATCATAGATGTCAAGCATCAGCTCAAACTCTATTTGGGAGCTTGGCATTTTTGTCGTTGTTTTTCCCACCTTTTTAACATTCAGGAAGACAAAAAAAAAAAAAAAAGAAAGAAAGAAAGAGAAAAAACTCTGCTGCCAGGTTGAATGAACCAATCTATGATTCAGTGTTTTGGTTAAACTTGCAAAAGCCACCTTTAAGCTGGGTGCGGTGGTGCACACCTGTAATCCCAGTGGCTCAGGCAGTTGAGGTAGGATGATCATGAGTTCAAAGCCAGCCTCAGCAAGCCCTAGGTGCTAAGCAACTCAGGGAGACCCTGTCCCTATATAAAATACAAAACAGGGCTGGGGATGTGGCTCTATGGTCAAGTGCCCTGAGTTTAATCCCCAATACCCCATCCACAAAAACCACCTTTAAACTTGTCTTTGTCTTATTATAGACTCAAGCTCCCAAAGGAAAATTCTTTATCTTAGTAAAAGCTTATATTGACTTCCCAGCATTTAAGGTACTACTACTTCTTTTTCATGGTATCTACATACTGTTTTTTCTAAATAAAATGCAAATGCCCCTATAGCAAAATTTATTCTTGGCTCAGCAGGATTATAATTTTTCTGATCTCTAGGGTTGGGAATGTAAGTGGTAGATATTAATGCTTTGTCCTTAAAACCACATTTAACTTTATTTCCAAAGTGGTTAAAATATTCAAAAGGTTCCAACAAAAAAATTTTTGAATTTTAAAAAAGAGAACCTGACAAGAAATTTTACCAAGTTCACTCATTTTCTTATTAAAGTAAAATCACACACCCTTGGGAACTAGCCAAGTGAATATAATTTGATTTGATTTATTTCTGGTTTAATATTAGAATCATAATACTAACCAAAGCATCTTAAGGGTTTTCATGAATAATCGATAATCAAATACATGATAAAACTTGATATGATAATATATATATATATATATATATATATATATATATATATATATATATATATATATAAAGTCATAGTAATAATATGCCAGTCTACTCTCTAGAAACTTTTTTCAAAATAAGTGCATTTAGGGTAAGTACACATATCAATTCCTCACCTGTCGTTCACAATATGCTTTCATTAGTTTACTAAGTGGTGTATGCCTCTTAATCTTAAACTGCACCACAGAACCATCCTGCCCCGCCACCTTCAAGTTAATATGATCGTTGTTCTCAGTCTTGACTCCTTCCTGTTGAAAGAAAAATAAAGTAGTATTTGGAAAATGTGAAAAACAGTAGCAGCAGCAGCAGTGCAAGTTGCTTCAAAAAAAAAAAAAAAAAAAATCAACAGGTTTCTTATTCTATATGACCAAGCAGCATACAGCTATTTTTAGACCCCAAAACTAATCTGAAATACTACAAATTCTGCGGCATCAGTATTAGATAGCTGTAGCAGAAAAACCTACATGAAATGCTATCAATGACAACAATAATTTTAAAATATGGGTCTCACTCAATTTATTACAACGTTCTCTTCAGGCTGAACTGTCTAAAATGGCACATCTTCTGTCACTGCCAAAATCTCCCCCGACCCCCCAAAAAAAGATTAAAAAAAAAAAAAAAAGTGTCCTTTCTCTTCACAAAGTTCTTTAAGTACAATTGCTGAAACAGTGCAAGGAGGGAAATTGCAATTCAAAACTCAACACGCTTCTCTTGTTAAAAAGTTACCAAACTCAACTTAATAACTTAAATCCAATTCCAACCTCCACTTTAAAACTCCAGTGAGGTAAATCTTCCGGTCTCTCCCGAGGCTCGGTACTAACTCAGAGCCACGAATAACCGTGGGGATCAGAAGCATCATTTTGTTTATTTTTAGTCAGGAGCGCTTTTCCTCCCCTCCCCTTTGTTGTCATGGGTCAAACATACAGGTTTCTTCCAAGTCTTCTGTATAGATGTCGACCAGACCCCAAGTTCACCAAAACCAAGTGTGGAAACAATTTTGCAGCCCCTAAGTCACTCCAGAAAGCAGTGCCGAGGGAGGGGAGCGTGTCAAACCACCCCAAGTGGCAGGTCCCCTGTGGCCTGGAGATGCGCGTCCCTGGTCCTCCAGGGAAGTCTCCCGTGCCTCCAAGCCGCGCTCCGCTCCGAAGTTAAGCCCCACTCGGACCTCGGCCTCCAACTTCGCGGAGCCACATGGCCCCTGCGCCTCGGGGGCAGCTGGCACCGGGCAGGGCCGCCGCCCCTCCCCCTCGGGCTCCGAGGCCACGGAGGTGGGAGCCTCTCCCCGGGAACCCCCGGCCGCCGGCATCCGGCTCCCGGCGCGCCAGCGGTCCATTGATTCTCCCCAGCGCCGCCGGCCGCCGCGGCCCTGGGCAAGGGTCACGCCCGCCCGCCGCCCCCCACCCCAAGTGCGGCAGTCGAGGGCCGGAGAGTCTTGCCACCGGCGGGCAGCACGGCACAGTCGCGGGGTCCGCGGAGGCTGGGCACCGTGCGCCCAACGTCCTCCTCACGCGCAGGCGGCCGGCCGAGCAGCCCGCGCGGGGATGGGGCTCGCGAGCGCTCGCGATCCGCCGCCCGCCTCGCGCCGCGCGCGCGCGGAGGCCCCGGGGGCGGGGGAGGGCGGCGGGCCTCCTCCGGCGCGGGAGGGAGGAAGAGAGGGAGGGAGGAAAATGGCGCGGAGCGCCCGGGCCTGAGCCGCGGCGGGCCCTGTGGGGGGCCCGGGAGGCGCTAGGAGCCGCGGCGGGCTCGGCCGGCCCCCAGGCGCCGGCGTCCCCGGGTCCCCCGACGAAGCGAGGCGGCCGGCGCCAAGCTCACCTTGGGCTTTTCGTCGGCCATGGCGAGCGCCGGAGTCTCCTCAGCTGCCGCTTCACAAAAGAGGTACCAGGTCCGCACCGAACGAGCACACAAGCAGCTCCAGGAGCGGCAGAAGAAGGAGGCGGCAGCGGTGGACGAGGGAGAGGGCGCGCGCACGTCGTGCGCTCCCTCCCCCCACCCTGCGTGCGCGAGCACGAGCCGCCGGGGCCTCCTATTGGCTGTAACCTCACGGGAGCGCGCAACGCTTACATAACCACCCCCATCCCCCGCCCCGCGCTGCCGCCGCCTGGGCCAGGCGCCCGCCAGGCCGGCGGGAAGAGGCGCGGACACGCGCACCCGGGGTGCCGCGGGGGCGCGCCTGGCTCTGGGCGGGGCTGTATTGTCCTCCTTCTGTGGTGGAGCATAATCAAAATGGCTTCCAGCTGGTCCTCGGCGAAGACGGGAGAGGCTCGAGGCCTTCGACGTAAGCCTTGGGCCGGGGAGGGCGGCCCTACTAGACGTGGAAGGGGGAGCCTAAATCAAGCCCAGCGTGAGGCTCCTCAGGGACATACTCTTGTCACGTGAGCCAGGCGCAGCCCTCCCTGGCTTGGGGGAGCATCACACGTCCTAACTGCCAGCCCCATCCCTAAAGGTTAAAGCTTCACCCTCAACAGGCTGCCACTTGCTCTCGCCTCCACTGCGACGACTGCTTCCGCGCTGCTAGGAGCCCTCGACGGGGACTCGCTTATCATTCCAAGGACCTCCTTGCTCCAGGCCAGCCTTCCAGCTCCAAGAGGAAAGGCTCCATCAGGAGCACACCATTACGAAGCTCCCACACCAAGCGCTTCCCCCGACGGCCCAGTGACCCCACGGCCATGGCCGAGGTGCTGCGGTCCACAGCCTCACAGTCCACCTTCTGCTTCTGAGTCCTGTGTTTATTCTCTCAGTTCCCCCCTGGGGCGGGGGGGGGGGAGCGGGGACAATTCGATTCTGTTAGGTTTCCACCATCGCGGTCTTCTTTCTTGGTCACACAGCTTGAAAAAAGGTCCAGGTCTCCCCCACCCCACCCCACCCCCAGTCACCTCCCACTCCTCAGTCCTCTGCAATGTGCTGCTGTGCCCCCCCACACCCAGCGCCACCAAAAATCGCCTTCACAGAATCCATTTGTCATCCCTTTTCTTGAATTCCTAGAAACTTTGCAGGAAGTAGGTTTTCCTCTCACCTCTGGCCTGTCCTTTAGCACTCCTCACGATTTTTTGTTGTTGTTGCTGTTCCTCAACCCCTCCCTTGACTGTTCTTGGGTTTTGTTCTAACTCCTTTGCTCTTATTGTATTCTCTCTCCTGGGACAGTTCTACCCACTTCCATTACCATCTATTTTCTAATGATTCTCATATGGAAGTGGGTAGAATTGTATTTCTAGTCCAGATCTTTCTTTAAGCTTCATACAACATCTACACTTGGAGAGCTCAGAGAAACTGAAACTCAGTAGATATCAACTAAAACTCATTTTACTTCAGGGACCTATCCTCTTCCAGACCGGTAGCCTTATACTTAATTGCATAAACCATTACAACAGCTTCTCCACACCAGAAGCCCTGGGGCCATTCTTATCTCCCTCCTTTCCTTCCATACACTTCCCATCCAATAAATTTCTAATTCTTTCCTAGTCCATCTTCTAAATATCTACCAAATCTGTCTACTTACTTTTAGCCAGTGCCTTTGAGTGAAGTTGGATATGATGGGCCCTTTCTACTTGGGAAGGAAGAGGAGGAAAGACCTAGATGTCTAGATGTGAGACAAGCCAAGGCAAGCAGATTGATCAGAGACGCGAGGGAAGTCTAATTCCATCTGGTCCAGGGACCCTCTCCCCAGAGCTACTGCATTGCCCTTCTAAGTGGTATTCTTGTTTTTAACTGTCCTGTTTTATTTGACTCCCATGATATTTAAATGAGTCATAATCACTTACAGTGTTGGTTTAAATAAGAATCTTAGGGTCCTTTGCAGCGTGGCTCTGAAATATGCTGTTTAACAAGCTTTTCTGATGATTTTTTAAGCTTAAAACAAAGAAATTTATTCTCTCGGTGTCAGAGGCCAGAAGTCTAAAATTAAAGTATTAGGGCTGGGGATATAGCTCAGTTGGTAGAGTGCTTGCCTCATATGCACTAGGCCCTAGATTCAATCCCCAGCATCACACACACACACACACACATACACACACACAAAAAAAAAAAAGAAAGAAAGAAAGAAATCAAGGCATTAGCAGCACTGCGCTTCCTGTAACCTCCAACTTCGGATGGTTCCACTCCTTCTTGACTTGTTGGCTTCATCACACCAGTCTCTGCCCATATCGTGTGGTCTCCTCTGTGTCTCTCTGGAGATTGTGAAGCACACTAAAGTTTGAAAACCACAGACCATTCTAAAATAAAAATGAAGAAGTTCTTGAAGTCCTCTCTGGTTCTGTGGCAATCCTCTGCCTTACATGATAAACTCCAAAATTCATGAAAGATCTACAAAGCCCTTTGAGAATTAATGTAGACCAACCACTCTAGCCTCCTTTCTCATCATTTCCTCCTTGAAATTCTGCTTGGGTCATAATCAATTACTTGGGGTTACTGAATGTGCCTGTAGTTTCTCAATGCTAAACTTTTGTCCATTGTGAATGCTCAAAGAATGAGTAAATACATTAAAACTATCACTGTGTAAGGTCCTATGGCAGTGGGGATACAAAAAAGGGCAAAGTCTCTGATTCTGCTGGACATAGTAGTGCACACCTGTAATTACAGCGACTGAGACAGGAGAATCAAAAATTCAAGACCAGCCTCAGCTATTTATTGAGGCCCTAGGCAACTTAGAAATGAAGGGGAAGAGACCAGGCAGAGATACACATAAGTGTTTATTTTTCATAGCTGACAAATAAAGACCCTCTCTCTATAGGAGAGAGGCAAAATAGGCTTTTGAGTTCTGGGACTTTTATGGGAGAGGCTCAGGAATCAGAGCCAGGCAGGTCCTAATGCAGGGTGGTTAAGGGTTGGGTTGGTATGAGGGAGTGGTAAGACTTTCTCAGAAAAGCCCTTAGGCAAGAAAGTGAAACTTTTTCTTTAAAATGGTGGCTGTCACTTAAGATGGCCCTCCAGATGCTGAGTAAGGACCTTATATTCCCTCCTTTTTTGTTTTTATTTGGCCTCTTAGGGGACAGGGATGTAGGTCAATCTTCTGTAACTGCTTCCTGCTGGGAAGGGTTGGCATTTGAATCCTTCATTAGGGGTGCAGGATGTCATTGGAAGGATTATGGAGGTTGAGTGATGGTGGAATGCTGTCCCTGGTGTCCCAATTTTTGGTGAGGGATTGGTATTCCTGTAACAAAAGCTGGTTTATAGTTTGATTAGAGATTTTTTGGATCTGGTCTTGAACCAATCTAATGACTCAGGGGGCAAGCATTAACAGAAGGCCTATGACAAGGGGAGGGGTAGGAAGGGAAGTGCCCACTGGAGAAGGGCTTTACTTAGCTGCCATCCTTCAGTAGAGGAGAGCTGTTTTTTTTGATGTTCAAGGTCTTGTTGGAGTTGTTTTATCTTGTCCTTTACTATACCAGATTGGTTGACATAAAAATAGCATTCTTCCTGTAGGTATAGACAAAGTCCACTTTTTTCAGCCATAAAAAAAGGCCCCTTTGATTCTGCAGAATCACAGTAGCTAAAGAATCGAGCTGATATGATATGTCAAGAGCCTTGTAATGTTTTGAACAACCAATAAAAAAAAAAAATCGAGCTGGGATTGTATGGTTAGTATGGTTTGAGAAGTTGCTGTAAATTTCCTAGAAATTGGAATGGTAATTCCTAGTAATGGTACCAATGGGAGGTGAGTGCAGAATAAGGTAGGAGGACAAAAATGAAAAAGGGAAGGGTGGTACTCGTAGTTCTGCAGTGTCCTCGTGGTCCTCAGAAACCGAAGGAAGATTGGGGGTCCAAGATTGGAGAAACGCAACTTGACAGGGCCTGTGGGTGTCACTATGTAATAAAGGGCAGAGAAAACCATTTTAAATGGGAGTTATGGAGCCAATATGGGAGGCCCTCAAGGCAGGCCACCATGAGAGTGGTAAGAATGACCCGATTAGGGTCCAGTCCATTTTGCAGAGAGTTGAGAGGAAGAGGAGGAGGGCCTGTGGTGGGGGGGGGGGTAAGAAGTACCTGGTTGCCAGGAGACAGAGTGGCAGAAGAGGAAGAGGCAGAACTAGGCTTTGCCAGAACAGCATTACTGTATTGCCAAAGAAGTTTCCTAATGTATGCAAGGAAGGGGCCAGAAAAGATGTGGAGTAAGGGGTAGTGGAAAATTAGAGGGAGGTGAGTTGAGCAGGGAGATAGACCATCCATATAGAAGCTCAAAAGGGCAGATGTTGACTGGCTTCTTTGGGAGGGATTGTAACCTAAGAGCCAAAGGAAGGAGTTTTGTCCAATCTAAATGTAATTCAAGGGATAGTTTAGCAAAAATGTTCTTCAAGTTCTGTTGGTACATTCCACCTTGCCAGAGGACGGGGGTTGGTAGGGGATATGAAAATGCCAGGAGATAATTGAGTGCGTTACCTACACACCGTGAAACATGGCAAGTAAGTTCAGGACCATTATCAGACTGGAGCGAGGAGGGGAGGCCGAATCGGGGAAGAATGTGTTCAATGAGGATACTGGCCATTGTGGGGGCACATTTACTGGTGTTAAGAAAAGCCTCGACCCATCCCAAGAAGGTGTCAATGAGTACCAAAAGAAATTTGTACCCCTTGACTGGGAGCATATAGGTGAAATCCAGCTGCCAATCAGAGCAAGGGAGATATCCTCTTGCCTGGTGTAAAGTGAAGGCAGGTGGGCAGAGATTGGAGGTAGGATTGGTTTTTTGGCTGATTTCATAGGAAGCAGAGAGGGTAGAGAGAAATTGTAGGTCCTCTGGAGAGAGTTTAAGGTAGGAAGTGAGAAATTGTTTTAAAGATGTGATGTTAGGGTGAAAGAAAGCTCTGAGGAATCCTGCCATACCTAGAAAGGAGAGAATTTCTTCCTTAGTAGAGGGTATTGGTATATTAGTGATAAGGCTCTTTCTGTCAACCATAATGGCTTTGTGTATAGGGGTCAGGAAGAGGCCCAGGTATGTTGCCATTGCCAAGGAAAGCTGTACATTGGTTGGAGAAGCCCTATAGTCA